AAATCAAACAGCCAGATTACTACCAACAGGTAAAGGAGTTGATAAACCAAGTCATGGCTATGCTGCACCAACGCTCACATCAAGGCTGAGGACAGAATTGTTAGAACGTCGAGAAGCTGAAGAAAAGGAGAATTTGATACCCTTCATCCCTCTGGATCAGAGGTAGATATGCAAATTGAGTAATAATTTTGAGGTTTTGATAATTATGAACAGGTAGTAATAATAGAAATACATAATCTTAATTCAGTGAAATGGAATTGCTTCTTTAGTTTCTTGTTGAATTTTTAGGTTTATTTTAAGCTTTGGGTCCTAGGAGATGGTGAATATATACATTTCATGGATGTAACATTTGTACCTATGTGATTGGTTTGTACATATTTATATAGTCTTTTATCCATCCTTTTTCAGAATAAAAGTTTTCACCTGGGGGTGATAATCCAGAAAGAGTTGGGACGACTGAAAAATATTCCACCAAAGGAATTAGAGAATGCTGTAAGTAAATTAATGCATCAAGAATTAGTAAGATGAATCATGATTTTTCAATCTAGCTTGTGAAACATTTGTATGATATATACTACATTTTTGCATTGAGTTTATAATTGATTTCTTCTGATCACTGTTGAAAGCAGAAATATTTTTATGTACTGACAATTAATTTTCATTTACTAATTGATTCTTTTAGAAGGCTCCTCAGCAGTGCAAACCTGGTAACAAGAGCAGTATTTCTGTAATGACAGAAGAGGCTGTTAAATTGGCAATGCAGAATATTGAAAAAGAAATTACAGCAGTCACGAAGCAGATCTCCAAGTAATAATCTAATTGATTTTCTTTCATTTATGGTTTAAGACTGTGATAAAGTGGGAACAATTTTTTAATGAGTGCCTGTAAAATCAAGTGAGATGCATTTATAATGCCCAGATGACTTGCATATTATGTTGAGTCTTTCAGCAGAAGTCATCAAGTTAAAAAGTAGTTTTGTTCTTACAAAATTGCTTTCAGATTAAGAGATAATGATAGAAGAATACTATTAGATAATTGAATTTTTGTGAATAGTTTTTACTTATTAGAAATTGATTCTCCACTGTGATATTGTATGTAGTTCCTGTTATTGAATTGAGTTTGATATATGAATGAAAGATATTTCTTGTATTTTTATGCACTGTATGTTTAACCCAGTAATAAGGGGTAAAGTTAGGCAAGGACAGGCATAAATTAGTGTGCGTTGGACAGTTGTCTGAGTAAAGGTAGAGCACGTAAGATCTCATCCTGGCCATTGGGAAATAGGTTAATGACGTGATAAGGCATTGCCCAGCATCTGTGATAATTTGCATGACATGAAAGCATGCCATCCGATACCAAGAGATTAAAAGGGAAATTTTTTATTAGGCTTATTTGAATATATGGAGTTAATTTCTAGAAATTATGCTTTAAAATTATTTGCGTTTTTGAGAAGTTTTATTCAATGTTGCCTCAAGAGGTACACATGTATGCTTATGTTTACATGGGATAAGCAGGTGGGATTTGGTCCATATTTTTGTAGATATAGAGAATATAAAGATCTGTGAATAAGGAATTAATGAGTTTCCTTTATTTTTTTTTTTCTTTGCTTAGCTTTCTTTTTCTCTTTTTGTTTCATTTATATTCTTTCTTTTCTTTAAATAAGGCAAAGCAGGACAGATTAGTGGTGATATATGAACTCTCTATCTTGAATCATACACTGAGTGTATGCATAGTTTTTAGGAAAGTGGGACTGTAAATTCTGAATAACCTGCTGAATGAAATTATCTTATTTTTCAAATAATCCAGTGTGATGACGCTCATAACATGCCAGCAATAATAAAGAGATGTGTATATACAGAATGCCATTCAAATCTGAATGATCTTGGGACATTTCAGTATATCTTCATAATATGGTGTCATTGCTTGTAAAGGTATATTTATGGTTTTAGAACTGGATACAGTCACCATTTCTTTGGAAAATAAAAAGCAAAGTCACAATTAAGTTTTATTGCAATACCATAAAATGTTTTTTCCTGTTTTTAATGTAAGTATTTAAATACAGTATATTAGGTTAGTAAATGATTACATATGCATTAACATTATCTGCAGCTACTTCCTTGTTCTTCTAATTTGTGTTTTGTGTTGATATTAGCTTGTAATAAACTCGGAGCATTGAAAATATATCAGCTAACACTAAGCATAGTTGTAAACACTAATTCAGATTGTACTCCAGATTTCACTCTTCTTCTAAATCCTTGTTGTAAAAAAATTGGCTAATACAAAACTGTGCTAGTATAAAATACATATGCCAAAAGTAAATGATACAAAGTTTAGCAAATTTCTTGAGCCAATAGCATTTTAGAAACTCTATAACATTTGGTTGTGGTCCGCCTTTGTGATGTGTCAGAGATAAAAGCTAATGAACTCCTAAGTGCCAGAAAAAAACACACTCATATGCACTCTTCATACCTTCACAACATAAACAGAAAAATGCTAAGGTCATTTTATAACATACTAAGTGTAATACTCTATATCTATAAAATGAAATAAAAGTTATAAGCATATTTGCTCACCTTCTGATTACTTTTTCAAAAGGAACAAGCATACTGAAAACTATTTGTTTACAATATGTACATTACGTAACTACAAATATATTAAGTTATTTTTATTTTTACATACCTACAATTTTTCTCGGATATTTCAGTATCCATCACCCCCATTATAAAGAGAAGCTAGATATGCTATCAAGACTAGTAGACCTTCAAACAAAAATAGTAATTTTAAACGTTAATAAGAAGTTCCTCTAAGTTCCCCACACTTAACACTCTTTCTTTTTATCACTACTTCACAATTTCTTATTTAATCCCATATTTTCAGGCAGCTTTTCATCATCATTAAAAAAAGACAATTCTCAGCAAAGCAGGTGTTTTTCCCACTAATCGTTTTTATGCTCAGGACAAAGGGAAAGATTCACCTCATTCTAGTTAGCTTCTTGTACAAAGTAGAGGATGAATATAATCTTTTAGAGAAAGCATGGACTTGATGAAATTTTATTGCCTCATTCTAATAATTTTTAAGGTCACATAAATGGGCAGTGAAGTTTATCAGCAGACAGTTCACACACAACTAATAATTGTCCTGTCTTCATAAGAATACTCATGATGCAACCAATTCATACTTGAATATTTTAGAAGGAAAAGAAATTATAATACAATCACAAATCATCTTTTAAAAAATAGCAATGAGAGAAACGTAGTATATATGATGTATAATGTATGGAGGTATGGGTGAGATGTGTAGTGATATAGAGATTGTTATTGAGGAGAAGTAGAGAGTAGTATGTGTATATAGAAGATGAGCTAAGGCAATTAATAAAGTGTGAATGTGTGATGTGTGTGTGTGTATAAATAGTTATATTGATATAGTATAGTATAAGATATACTATAGTAATATAACAGATAAGAGTAAGTATATATAATAATAATGAGAAAAGTAATAGTATAAGAGAGAGTAAGATAGCACATTATTACATATTACATATAGTAATATAGAAAAATGTGATATATGATATAAAATATAATATATATATTATATTAATATACCTACATTCATAAATGCAATGTATGAGATTTATGTAAATATAATAGTGAGAGGTATATGTACATCCATCCATTATATATATAGTGAGAGATAGAAGACAGTGCGAAGGAAGAGAGAGAGAGAGAGAGAGAGAGAGACGAGAGAGTAATAGTATAGAGAGATAAGAGAGAGAGTAAGAGTAGTATATATATATATAATAGAGAATAAGAGTAAGTATAATATAATATATAATACACTATACATAATATACATACATAATAATATATATAATATGTAATATTATAAATAATATCAATTATAAATAACCATACATATAATATATATATATATATATTATATATATATATATATATATATATATATATATATATATATATATATATAATATATTACATATATAATATAATAATATGTATATAATATACATGCATGTATAATGTATATATATTATATAATATATATATATTATATTATATACATATATAATATTATATATTATGTATATATATATATATATATATATATATATATATATATATAATATATATATATATATATATATATATATATATATATATACACACACACACACACACACACACATATATTGCTAGATATACACATACATATACATATACATACACACATACATACATACATATATACAATCATATATATAAGTTTATTATTGCTATTTTTAAAAGTGATTTGTGATTGTATATAATATTCTTTCACTTCTAAAATATTCAAGTATGAATTGGTTGCATCATGAGTATTCTTATGAAGACAGGACAATTATTAGTTGTGTGTGAACTGTCTGCTGATAAACTTCACTGCCCATTTATGTGACCTTAAAAATTATTAGAATGAGGCAATAAAATTTCATCAAGTCCATGCTTTCTCTAAAAGATTATATTCATCCTCTACTTTGTACAAGAAGCTAACTAGAATGAGGTGAATCTTCCCTTTGTCCTGAGCATAAAAACGAGTTAGTGGAAAAAACACCTGCTTTGCTGAGAATTGTCTTTTTTTAATGATGATGAAAAGCTGCCTGAAAATATGGATTAAATAAGAAATTGTGAAGTAGTGATAAAAAGAAAGAGTGTTAAGTGTGGGGAACTTAGAGGAACTTCTTATTAACGTTTAAAATTACTATTTTTGTTTGAAGGTCTACTAGTCTTGATAGCATATCTAGCTTCTCTTTATAATGGGGGTGATGGATACTGAAATATCCGAGAAAAATTGTAGGTATGTAAAAATAAAAATAACTTAATATATTTGTAGTTACGTAATGTACATATTGTAAACAAATAGTTTTCAGTATGCTTGTTCCTTTTGAAAAAGTAATCAGAAGGTGAGCAAATATGCTTATAACTTTTATTTCATTTTATAGATATAGAGTATTACACTTAGTAGATGTTATAAAATGACCTTAGCATTTTTCTGTTTATGTTGTGAAGGTATGAAGAGTGCATATGAGTGTGTTTTTTTCTGGCACTTAGGAGTTCATTAGCTTTTATCTCTGACACATCACAAAGGCGGACCACAACCAAATGTTATAGAGTTTCTAAAATGCTATTGGCTCAAGAAATTTGCTAAACTTTGTATCATTTACTTTTGGCATATGTATTTTATACTAGCACAGTTTTGTATTAGCCAATTTTTTTACAACAAGGATTTAGAAGAAGAGTGAAATCTGGAGTACAATCTGGAATTAGTGTTTACAACTATGCTTAGTGTTAGCTGATATATTTTCAATGCTCCGAGTTTATTACAAGCTAATATCAACACAAAACACAAATTAGAAGAACGAGGAAGTAGCTGCAGACAATGTTAATGCATATGTAATCATTTACTAACCTAATATACTGTATTTAAATACTTACATTAAAACAGGAAAAAACATTTTATGGTATTGCAATAAAACTTAATTGTGACTTTGCTTTTTATTTTCCAAAGAAATGGTGACTGCATCCAGTTCTAAAACCATAAATATACCTTTACAAGCAATGACACCATATTATGAAGATATACTGAAATGTCCCAAGATCATTCAGATTTGAATGGCATTCTGTATATACACATCTCTTTATTATTGCTGGCATGTTATGAGTGTCATCACACTGGATTATTTGAAAAATAAGATAATTTCATTCAGCAGGTTATTCAGAATTTACAGTCCCACTTTCCTAAAAACTATGCATTCAGTTTTTTTTGTTGGTTGATCAAGACAGAGAGTTCATATATCACCACTAATCTATTTAAAGAAAAGAAAGAATATAAATGAAACAAAAAGAGAAAAAGAAAGCTAAGCAAAGAAAAAAAAAGGAAACATTAATTCCTTATTCACAGATCTTTATATTCTCTATATCTACAAAAATATGGACCAAATCCCACCTGCTTATCCCATGTAAACATAAGCATACATGTGTACCTCTTGAGGCAACATTGAATAAAACTTCTCAAAAATGCAAATAATTTTAAAGCATAATTTCTAAAAATTAACTCCATATTTTCAAATAAGCTTAATAAAAAATTTCCCTTTTAATCTCTTGGTATCGGATGGCACGCTTCCATGTCATGCAAATTATCACAGATGCTGGCCGATGCCTTATCACGTCATTAACCTATTTCCCAATGGCCAGGATGAGATCTTGCGTGCTCTACCTTTACTCAGACAACTGTCCAACGCACACTAATTTATGCCTGTCCTTGCCTAACTTTACCCCTTATTACTGGGTTAAACATACAGTGCATAAAAATACAAGAAATATCTTTCATTCATATATCAAACTCAATTCAATAACAGGAACTACATACAATATCACAGTGGAGAATCAATTTCTAATAAGTAAAAACTATTCACAAAAATTCAATTATCTAATAGTATTCTTCTATCATTATTCTTAATCTGAAAGCAATTTTGTAAGAACAAAACTACTTTTTAACTTGATGACTTCTGCTGAAAGACTCAACATAATATGCAAGTCATCTGGGCATTATAAATGCATCTCACTTGATTTTACAGGCACTCATTAAAAAATTGTTCCCACTTTATCACAGTCTTAAACCATAAATGAAAGAAAATCAATTAGATTATTACTTGGAGATCTGCTTCGTGACTGCTGTAATTTCTTTTTCAATATTCTGCATTGCCAATTTAACAGCCTCTTCTGTCATTACAGAAATACTGCTCTTGTTACCAGGTTTGCACTGCTGAGGAGCCTTCTAAAAGAATCAATTAGTAAATGAAAATTAATTGTCAGTACATAAAAATATTTCTGCTTTCAACAGTGATCAGAAGAAATCAATTATAAACTCAATGCAAAAATGTATATATCATACAAATGTTTCACAAGCTAGATTGAAAAATCATGATTCATCTTAATATTTCTTGATGCATTCATTTACTTACAGCATTCTCTAATTCCTTTGGTGGAATATTTTTCAGTCGTCCCAACTCTTTCTGGATTATCACCCCCAGGTGAAAACTTTTATTCTGAAAAAGGATGGATAAAAGACTATATAAATATGTACAAACCAATCACATAGGTACAAATGTTACATCCATGAAATTTATATATTCACCATCTCCTAGGACCCAAAGCTTAAAATAAACCTAAAAATTCAACAAGAAACTAAAGAAGCAATTCCATTTCACTGAATTAAGATTATGTATTTCTATTATTACTACCTGTTCATAATTATCAAAACCTCAAAATTATTACTCAATTTTGCATATCTACCTCTGATCCAGAGGGGATGAAGGGTATCAAATTCTCCTTTTCTTCAGCTTCTCGACGTTCTAACAATTCTGTCCTCAGCCTTGATGTGAGCGTTGGTGCAGCATAGCCATGACTTGGTTTATCAACTCCTTTACCTGTTGGTAGTAATCTGGCTGTTTGATTTTTTGTCTTGGTATTTTGCAGAGTTGAATTCCCTCGAGAACTTAATGTAATGATCTCTCTGTTACTTGTCCTCCTTGGTTCTTTATGTGAGGTTACCGAATCACTTTCTTCTTCAAGTGAGCCTCTTTCTCTCAGATGGTGCTTGCTGTGAGACCCCTTGAGTTGGACCTCCTGGTGGACTTGTATCTCCTGCCAGGCAAAATCTCATCCTCAGAGGTCTCTCCTACTATGTGACTACTTCCTCTGCTGCCTTGTCTCTTAGAGGACCTGTATATAGCCGCAGGATTATGAGTTGAGTTATCAATGATGCTACAATGAGTTGACTCGCATGGTAGTTTCTGGGTAACATTCTCATTACCTCTTTTGCTTCTAGGTCTCAGAGGCTCTTGACGAGAACGTGGCTGCTGTGATCTTGATCTCCTTGGGGTATCATCACTGCTACTTGACAGATTTTCATTTGGATTATCTATCTTGGGAGCAGATATGTCTTGCTTTTTCTTTGTTTTGACCTTTCTTTTACCGCTAGGATGATGGCTCCCAGTTCTCAGGTTCTGAAGTATGACAAATGAAAAAGATATAGTGGGGGGGGGGGGGGATATAATACCTCTCTGTTCTGTCACCTGACAATGATGCTATCAACATGATGAGAACCTTTGTGCATTCACATTTCCCTTTTCTTGGCAGTTTTTGTGCATTCCTACTTAAACTTTATATACATATAACATTCTATAGCCTTTCTGTCTTCAATGAAAAATGCTATAACAGGACCTGCTATATCTATTCTCAGCATAAATGCCAACAGGAAAAAATCAACTTATCCAAAATCTTTACAGCATAACTATTTCATCAGCAACATTAGTAGTCTGTAACATCCAGCACAGTTTTGTCACACGTACTTGAGATTAGGCACTAAATTGTTCGAAAACTTATAGAAGTAAGAATAATATCAGAGGTGGTGTTGCCATCAGCAGGGAGTTTCAAGAAACCATGGAATAAAATTATATTCATGTAGGCATCACATGTGGACAAGTAGATAGAAATAATGAAAAATAGGCAAAGAAATTCCTTGTTTTAATAAATGCATAATGCACATGGAAATGCTTACAACTGCCATAACAACACAACAAAGCTATTACCCACCCTTGACCTGCTTCGTGGTTGCCGTTTAATCAACACGCCACTTGTTTTCACTTTCTTGGCAGTTTCTGTAAAGTGAAAAAGAAATCATATTTCTAAAAATAAAGTGATGAGATACATATGCAGTAAATAATTGGGAAGAATGTAGCTTTATCCACTGTTACTTTAATTTGTAAACATTATGGATGAGATACTGAAATAAGCTTAAAATGAATTACTCTGATGTGCATCCGACGTTGATGGCTGTGGACTGTTTCTAATGCAGTGAGAATCTGTGCTTGATCCTGGAAGAACAGGCTGTTGCTTTGCTTTCTCTTGCAAGGATATCAAGGCTTCTTCTACTATGTCTAAGGCAGTATTGATACCCTCTGAAAAATAAAAATAGGTCTATTAGCCTACATGGGGCATGCTCCTATCTTCAAAGATATATATATGTATGATCACATATACATGTTAAAATGGAACTTCACTGAATATACATATGATATAAAACAAAATAATGACTATGAAGTATAAAAAATCATCTGTGCAAAGTAAAATCTTGCATCTACATATCAAACATTGCTATGTCATCCACTTTGACAAATTCATCTTTAACTAAGCAATCCAAGTCCTATCTTGCAAGAAAATACATGCTAGAGGATTGTTGGTCTTGAAGAGTGGAGAGACATTAATACTTTTCCTTTTTTTGTGCTCTACCTTATCCCTTATCTTCATTATTTTCAGTCTGTGTAAAAGCTGTGATAATTGAAAAGTGTCTCAAATTTCATCAAGGAAACCATTCCCTACCATGAATACCTGATTGTCATTAACTAAAACTATACAAAATGCACTGCTCCCAAAGGTCTTAATACAGCATATATATATTCCATCCTGGAGTGTTACTGTCAAATAAGGAAGCAGCTTAAGCTTTATCCTATGAGTATGAAAATGTTGGAAGCTTACTGGCTTTTCACAGTGCACACCACCATACAGGTAAGCATATACTGTATCGTGTGAATTTACAACCATAATTCCTGTATCATATAAAATTACAACCATTATTCTAAATACAGGATTTTTGAACTTGTCACAAGGCAATTTACTGAATTAACTGATTAACTGGTAAGTTCTATCGGAAAATATACAATAATAAAAATCAGGTGAATACCAGAGAATTTTTTTTTTCCAGTAGAGCGGCTCTTAATGGATTGCGTTAATTTTGGCAATCATGGATTCCTCTCACTTTCTAGTGTCCCCTAATCATATTCTTGGCCCTGATAGTAGGGGAGGGCATTCAAAATCAAATAACAGTAATTTTTTGGAATATGTCCACCTAATGGATCATGACAATTTTCACATCATTGGATTCCTCT